AATAAACCATATTATGTAAAAATGTCAAAAGTTGATATATGATATGTCATTCTTTTCAGAGTGTTATTTTCTATCGAATAAAGTAAAAAAATACCATTTTGTGCCATTTAAAAATCAAAAGTTGTAGTCATTTTCGGTGAAACAGGAAGTGACCGAAAACAATTGAATACATCAATCAATCCCAATATATATCATATACTAACATACCAAATCTCAATTTTTTATCTGAAAAAATAAAAAAGTTATAGGGGTGAGGTGATACAGGGTCCAGCAATAGTGCGTCGGGCGTATCTAGCTCCTAGAATAAAAAACTTGAAAATTTTGTTTAATCATTGGTTAAGCATTTTTGTTTAAGTGCTAGCAAGATGGTTAGCATTAATTTTAATTTAATGTCATGGCTATTTTTTGCTATTTTAGTTCAAGAAGCACAAAGTCTATAATTACATTTTTCGTAGCATTGAACAAAATAATTTTTGTACTTCTTTAATATACTAAAAAAAAATATGATTTTAATCAAAATTAATAATAACCATATCAAGAATGGAAACCCAAAAATTATATTACCATAGAAACGCATTTTGATTTTTCGGTTTTTAATTTTTTTCTTTAGATGGTATGGAAATTAGGAAAACTATAAACGGGATTAACCATTTTAGAACAGTCAAAAACTTTTATGAAGAATGTATTTTCCTCAAAAACTTTTTAATATACTTTTTTTTATAAATACAATTCTAAGACATACTGTATATGAGTTAGATTATGGTTTCTTAAAGGTCGTCTAGTTGAAAATACTAGAATCTTTCAATAACGAGAAAATACATGGTTCTTAGGTCTTAGTCGTTAAGAAAACGATCTTTGAAATATTCTTCGGCAAGTTGCTCTCACGTAAGACTTCCCTACATGTTGGTAATTAAGTGCCATTAAAAGCGATGTGCCATATATCGATAGCCGCGCACGACGGCAATTTTTACGACTTGAAATCGAAATTGATGACTTTTTACGTGCGTGACGTTAAGCACTTTGCTTCCGATTTAGGAGAAAACAATGTGGATAGAACTATTTTAACGTGGGAAACACTATCTAGTTTTGCTTAGTTGGAATTCTTTTTTACCTCTTCATTTTTACGAAGAAGAAGTAATTATGATATATCGGGTGTGTTGTCCGTGGCTTTTTTTACATAATTCAACATATTTTTTTTATATGGCAAATATTACAATTGATGTTGGAAGCTTTGGTGTTACAATTGCATATTTTTTTAACAACTACAACTATGTTTTCTTCTGTATGATACCAGGCGCCCAAACATTTTAAAGTTGAATGAAAATATAAGTTGATGAACAATACAAGCTGCCGTTTTCGATGTATAAAAAAACGTCACACCCTTATTTTGGCGCCCAACGTGGGGCTCAAGCAACTCAGCATTCTCCCTAACAACACTGCATTTTGTTCAGCATCCGGTCCAGCAATATTTTTTCCAAAAAAAATGCAGTGAAAATACTGAATCTACAAGAGACAATATCACCTTTTTACCATTTCCGTTAAAATTCTAACGGATGATACAGATTTAAACAGAAAAAAATTAATGCCACTATTGAAGGCCGGCAAAAATAGAACTCATATGCTCAATGCAGTGTAGATAGACCACTGCAGGCTGAGAATACCGACTTTGTATTGAAAGTCACCAAACTATCTGGGAACTGCTGGGAACAAAACCTGGGTTGAGTTGTTTGGCAATCAAGGAAAATTAAAAAAACTAGTATTAGTTTTTCTTGCTTAGTTTTAAAATCTTAAGTAAATTTAGCTGATCAAGTAAATGTAGCAGATCTTTTAAGCAAATGATACTGCTAACGATACTGATCATTTTAAACCACCTAGATCAGTTAAATGGAAAGCAGCAGACGTAACTTGTCGGATATTAATCGGAGTCTGTGTGCAAGGCGCAATACATTTTTTGTTACGCTTGTACGCCACTGCCTATTTTACAATACGCTGCATTTTGAATCGCCCGCGGTCTTCGCCGCCGCCGACTAATGCAGCCTTATCACACCCGAGCGCGACCGAGCGAGACGCCGAGTCGTTCCGACAGAGAGGGGGCGACCAAAGGACGCGAGAAACACGTGCAGAGCCGCGAGGGCGCCCCGGGGCGGCTATGGGCGCCGCCCCCCGCCGACCCCAGGCGTATAAGGCCGACTAGTGCCCCAGGGCGGGCTCGTTGGCGACGACGATGACGCTTTCCCGCGTACGGTCGAGGAGGATAGGGAGAGGCGAAGGCCCAAGGTAAAAAGTGTTTTTGTTGGTCGGTTTTGGAATGGGGTTCGAGGCAGTGTAGGATCAAGGGAAATAGTATACATTTATATAAAATTATATATTATCCGATATATTTTTATTGAAAGTACTTATCTGGTCCTAATCAAAGAAATAATAAGTTAAATACAGCAAAAACTGCTGTATTTAATTGGTTTTAAAATTATTCGTGAGGCCTGACAGTTATTTTAGTCTTTGTAACCACTAGAGATTTTTCATAATAGTGTAACGTTTTTAAAATACGTTACTTATGTTTACTACCAACAGGAGACATCCTAATTAAATAGAGTCATTTATTTTTAACATTTACCACTGTTTTTTTTTGTGTGTGATACCAAGCGCCCACAATTTAAAGTACTGTATATTTAGTTTTCTTCTGGTAAAATATTGACGAACCTACGATCCAATTCTCCGAACAACACGAGTTGTTATTCGCGAGGTATAGGAAAACGTTACACACTTATTTTGGCGCCCAACGTGGGGTTTAAACAACTATGCATTCTCCTCAACAACACGGTGCTTAGCCAGCAATATCCTTTTTAACAAAATCATGGCCAGGCTTCATAGCCAGCAATATCCTTTCCAACAAAAATACAGTGAAAATACTAATTCTGCAAGAGAAAATATCATATGTTTACCTTCTCTTAACCACTTAAATCAATAAGGTCTATGGGCATCATGATCCATATTACGGGACATTGTGATCTATAAGGTACTGCAATATTTATGATAGCAATACACTAATTTCACGCTTCTTGAGTGAAGCTTTATTATGTGTGAATTAAATCATCTCTCCTCCTAAGTAAGCAGACAAAATATATTTTTTTTGATTAATCAATGTTTGTACTGAAATACGCCATATTCTCACGTACCAGGCAAGTGGAGGTTTTAAAGTAAAGCCAAGGTGGTCCCCGAGGCGTTAACCTCAGGACAAAAGACATAACACAATAATAACGCCATAATATATACGACTGGATTTACAGTCCCGCTCTCACTCGCTCTTTCTATAAGCTTTGTTTAAGCTACTTACCTGACGTAGTATTGCCACTCTGAATAAAAACACCTTTGTTTGCGAAGGAAATACTTTTGCATATACGAACTGTTCTAGAAATCACTTTGGTGGTATATGAGTCATTAGAGTTTTGAATTAGGTTGCTTGGAAGCTTGAGGCGATAAATAAAGCTTGGTATTGAAAATAAAATAATAGGTATTTCGTAAGTAAACGGATTCAGTATTACGGAGAATATTTGAAAATTGATTTTATTAAATTGGAATAATTTTCAGAAAATATATATTTAGAAGGTGCGCTATTTTTATTATAACCTTATGCAACCCAGAAAGGTAGACATTGAAATTTGTCAGAAAAAGAAAAGTTTTAAAGATAGGTCGTTTAACGTACCGTATATGATCCAAAAAAGGACGGTGTTCAAGGTGGCATTAAAAATACATCCAACCTTAAATTTTTCATACCCCTAAGTAATAAGGGTGGTCCACCCCATTTTTTTTTATTATTTGGAAAATTCAAATATTGTTGTTTTTATTACATATGGCATATGGCTCTTTCAACGGTAAAATATCAGACAAAAATCATTAGGTGGCTTTGATAAAAAATTACTGTTGAAAAACCCATATGTAATATAATAATAAGAATATCTACAAAACTGAAAAAATATTTTAAATGCAAAACATGTTCGTTTTTTAATTCTCCATCTTTGAAAAGAAATAATACTCAGGGCGTTTAAAAAAACGAAGAAAAACTATTTTCTATTTTAGAAAATTTGACATATAATTTTGAACACCCTGTATGGTTTTAGGATGACGATATTTATAGTAAAGCCAAGGACAGACCAACTAAAGTAAATACCTAGTACTTTTGATTTCAGGATATTTCTTATATTTTTTAATATTTTCTTACAAAAGGCTGAAATATTTTTTTATTTAATTATTAATACCTCTGAACCTATCAAAACATATTTAATAATATCTTATGATTATATAAACTGATCAAAAAGAAAGCCAAAAATGCAATAATATACTTTTTTTATCTGGAATAAATGGGCAAATCTGCATTCGTTCCATTTAAAAAAAGTCATCCCGAACCAAAAACAAGAGACGACGCGTGACAGACTTAACATAAACCCATCCATAATTATTAACTTATTAAATATAACATAAAAATGATATAATACAATAAGTTAATATATGTACATACCGGGATACCGGGTGCGTCTCAAAAGTGGCTCACCCCTATAACTTTTTTATTTTTCCAGATAAAAAATCGAGATTTGGTATATTAGAATATGACATAAATGAGGATTGATTGACGTATTCAATTGTTTTCTGTCACTTCCTGTTTCACCGAAAATGACTACAGGACTACCCTTTAAAGGGCACCCTTGGTGTTTGGTTTGGTTTGGTTGTTTTTAGCAAAAATGTCAAAAGTCATATGATATGTCATGGCCTGCCGAAATCTTTCCTGAATCGTAAAACAGAGTATACCTTAACTCCAGAAATAAAAGAAATATGAATGCTCGACCAAAAAATGATTATTCAAAAACTTTTTTGAAAACTGCATCCTAATAAAAGCACAAACTGAAAGAAGAGACAAACGAGTCGCTCCATCCCCCTCCATTCAACGCAAACATTTTCAGAGTTTCAGTTGTAGAACATAATCTTTCAGCTTTCAGTCAGCCGAGTTGCGTCGTTTAGTAGGTTGCGTTGCTCGTCTGTTCAAGTCCGCGAATATAACTCGCGCGCTCGGTGAACAAAATATAAATTTTAATATATATTTAGATAAATACAATATTTAATTTGATACATATGTAAACTGTCTAGCTGATTTATGTTGACAAGGGATTGTTAATAGTTGTTGTGATACAGGATGGCAAACTTTGCGGTATCCTTAAAAAGAAGTCCAAGTGATTTTGAAGATCAAATGCTGTACAGGTAAATTAATTTTTATAAAGAAATATGTATAGTTCACGCACTTTGTTCTTAAATTATTGTAGTTAACCTAAGCGCATATTCAATCAAATATATTTAATATAAATGGTTTTCTAAATATTTTATCTTTCTATTACTATTATTATTATATAGTTGTGGTTGGAACCTTTGATGTTACAACAGCAGAATAAAACACTCATCACAATACACCAAAACATTTTACTTTTAAACACTTTTTGCTAACCCTAATTTCAGTTTTGGTTTTAATCATCTGCTGATGATACTAACATGACGCGCGTCCAGTTGTTTTGGTGTATTATTGTGGTGAATTAGTGTTTTATTTTGCTTTTCTATTGCTAATTCTGTTTTTTTGTCCATTATGATGTTTTTTTTTGTTGAAAAATAGAAAAAATTTAAAGATAGATAAACAATAAACATATTTTTTTTATTAATAGATTTTCCGGAGATTATAGATACTTATTTTGGTATTTAAATAATTAATGAATATTTTTAAATATTTTAAAAGAAAATTTTTATACCGGGTACGTCTCAAAAGTGGCTCACCCCTATATCTTTTTTATTTTTTTAGTTAAAAAAACGATATTTGGTATGTTAGTATATGACATAAATTAGGATTGATTGGCGTGTTCAATTGTTTTCGGTCACTTCCTGTTTCACCGGAAATGACTACAACTTTTGATTTTTAAATGGCACCCTCGGTATTTTTTTACTTTATTCGATAGAAAATAAAGGGGCCTATTCACATGCGATTTTGTACGGCGGATTTGTCCGATGAATATGTCCGGCGGACAAATCCGTACGTGTGTATTCGCGTGTTTGCTGGATATGTCGCGCTCGCCATCCGTAGAAAAAAACGACGAGCACGGACAGCGGACCGGGCATATCCACGTGTGAGTAGTCCAAAACGGATTTGTTCGAGGCAAATCATCTTTTCTTTGCATCAGTGTTGCCAACAGTAGCAGAAAGTTGTAACGGTGTAGCAGCATAAATCAATTTTCTTCTTAAAAGTAAATTAAATATGTAAAAGTATTGAGGTAGGCACAACCCTTGAATAATTCCTAACAAATGTGTAAAAAATATATACAGGGTGGTCCGAATTGTATTCCGGAAACTTCGGCAGCATATTCTGCAAATAAAAATAAGTAAAAAAGTTCGTATAAATGTATGTCCTAAAATGCTTAGTTTCGGAAAAACAGGGTGTAGAAGTTTCAATTTTATTTCGATTTTTTCCAAACCTAATTTATGAAGTAACGTTATTATTTGGATGAAAATTGCTGCCTGGGTGTTTTTTGATATGAGAAATTTGATTTTGATGTCAATATGACTCCTACATGTAGAGGGCGCCACCTACATATTTTTAACTGGTTTGAAGAATATTAACTTTTCGTCCGTACCTGTATAAAACTACTGAATAAAAAAATATACATTTACGACGTCTTTTACGTAAAAAAGGTCTCTTGGTAAAAATCGCTACGAGTAAAGGTTCTCGAGATATTTGGAATCAAAATTATCAATACCTGTCATCCTTGACATAAAATTAAATATGTTGACTAAATAGGTATTAGACTGAAATCATAAATTTGAAATGTTTTTGTGCCAAAAGTTCAACAAAAACGGTTTTATCATTATTTTTTTTGAAGAAAAGTTTATAATTAATTTAAAAAAATACAAATTTCCGAAATTTATTATTTCAGTCAAATAACTAGGTATCTACTCAACGTGTGTATTTTTTGTCAGTAATGATATGTATTGACTATTTCCATTTTAAATATCTTGAGAACAGTTGCTCGTAGCGATTTTTACCAAGAGACATTTTTTACGTAAAAAGTCACGGAGATGTATATTTCTTCGCTCAGTAGTTTTATACAGGTACGGACGAAAAGTTATTACTCTTCAGAACAGTTAATACACATGTAGGTGGCGCCCCCTACTAATAGAAATCCTATTGACATCAAAATCAAATTTCTCATGTCAAAAAACTCCTAGACACCAATTTTCATCTAAATATTAACGTTACTGCAGAAATTATTTGTAAAAAAATCGAAATAAAAACGAAACTTCTACACCCTGTATCTTCGAAACTAAGCATTTTAGGAAATATATTTATAGGAACTTTTTTACTTATTTTTATTTGCAGAATATGCTGCCGAAGTTTCCGGAATACAGTTCGGACCACCCTGTATATACTAATATTCATAAATCAGATTGTGCCAAATTGTGGTAACATTAGGTAGCTTCCTGCTAAAGTTGGTTGTTAATTTTAGATGCCCATTAAAAATATTTATTTACATTAAATTTAGGCTAAAATGTTAATAGGTGTTAAGAATAATAATTGTGTATTTTATTGATAATAATTATATTATCAATGAATATATCCAACTTTTATCAGAAAACTTAATAGATTATAAAACACAAAACACATTTAAGATTTGTCTTATGTAGGTCTGTAGGTAAGTGAGCGCGAAAATCTGCAAAAACAAACTTTACCAAATATTATATTCAGTAGAGTTTACTGAATATAATCTTCACCAGGTAATTTTTACACATCTATAGATAGAAATTGTCTTGAATTTAATCAAGCGTACTTAGTAAATTTCTTTTGAAAACTGTCTCAATAAAATGATATCTAATATTTTTTTATAGAACAATATTTTATTTTTTAAACATATAATTTTTTCATTTAAAAAATTTACTAAAGTATCTTTTTCTTATAAAAACTACTCATAAGTATGTTAATTGTCTATTTTAATATTAATTCCTCTGACATTATTAACTGTGTGTATCGTGTTGCCTTGAAAATGTATTTGCATATAATATATATAATTAAAATTAATTTTGCTTTTTAAGTTTTATGTTATGGGAGTTTATATTAGAAAATCTATATATTTTTTATTATAACCTATTGGTTGTCAACTACATATTAAATGGTTAGGATTTGAAATATAATTAGAATTGAAATTATTGAGCAGAAAACTAAATACTCCGAACAATTAGGCATATACCCCTGCACCCTTCATGCAGAAATCTACGCTATCGATTGAGGCGTACTTGATACGAATTATTGGAAACAAGAAATAACCATCTTTTCGATAGTCAAGCAACTTTAAAACCGATCAACTCAGTAACCATCAATTCCAAGTTGGTCAAAGAATGCCTAGAGAAGCTGAACAAATTAGGCACAGATTATAAAGTCTTCCTACTCTGGATACCAGCCCACCAAGAGATAGAAAACAATGAAAAAGCAAACGATCTAGCTAGAAAAGGAGCGAACACTTTATTAACTGAACCAGAATCGTTCTGCTTTCCAAGTGGAAATCACCTTAAAGCGTAACTCAAGAACCTAAAAGACTCCATACGTAACCTGGAATGGCAATCCTCCAACGGTTTAAGATACTCGAAGGAATTTCTCAAAACTTACGACCGGGAAAAATCAAACATTTTCCTTGATTGACTTGATTTAAAATCGTTTATCAAATGGAAAATGGAAATTTTCGATTAAGAGTTCAAAATTTTACAGAATTTCTTTCTCGTCATTTCAACAACATTTTCGATATAAGTAAGTCCAAGTTACATATTATAAAATATTATCGATAACGCTACGCCACTGTGCAACATATACATATTTGAGAGATGACATTAAATTGATGGTTTTCTCCCCATTGAAAAATAGTGCCTTAAGCACCGCCGATGGCGACATACATATACACGAAGAAAAAATATGTTTCCTCATGACTCACTGGCACGAAATTAAAATAAATTATCTCTGAACTCGCTATTGTTTATAATAAAATTTTAATAGAGTTTTAACAATCGAAACCAAATGTCAAACTATTAAATGTCAGTTTGATATTTAAATGTATGAAATGTCACTGTGAACATCAAAACCTTTATGATCTGAAAATATATAGGGTGATCAAATTTATTTATTAATATAAAGATACAAAAAACTTTAGGAATTGGCTGAAAATAAGTAGGTAGATCCTTAAAAAATTATTTGTGCACAATGTGCGTATATTTGAAGTGAAACTTCTGTCCGTCTGTCCATCTGTCTGTCTGTCCGTCCCACCCTGATGAATATGTAAACGAAACGTCCTATCCAACTTTGCAGGGTGTGACCGTATGCACCGTCACATAGCTTACCCACCAAATTTGGTCGCGATCAGACTACATCAACTTATGACATTTCTTACGTCAAAACTTACTGTGTGACACGTGTCTCTAAGTTGGTCTAAGTAAAAATTGGTATAGGAATGATGTCACCTTGATAAATTACAGTTATTTATACAGTATGTCCCCGGATTATCTTTACAAGAGAAAAAACTTTTTATTCACTTTTTAAGAGAAAATATATTCTTCATAAAATTTTTTGCTTGTTCCAAAATGGTTAATCGCGTTTATACTTTTCCTAATTTACATAGAGTCTGAGGCAAAAATTAAAAAAAATATAAATATACCGGGTGCGTCTCAAAAGTGGCTCAACCCCTATAACTTTTTTATTTTTTCAGATAAAAAAACGAGATTTGATATGTTAGTATATGACATAAATTAGGATTGATTGACGTATTCAATTGTTTTCTGTCACTTCCTGTTTCACCGGAAATGACTACAACTTTTGATTTTTAAATGGTACCCTCGGTGTTTAGTTGTTTTATTCGATAGGAAATGACACTATCACACTATCATATGTCAACTTTTGACATTTTCGAATATAGTTTATTTGAAATTGCAACATGCGATTCATAACGACAATTTGACTCAAAATACCAAGTGTGCGGTACCAAATTATTCGTAAAAAAATGCTTTTTCCAAATATGCTCATCAGCCACCCTCGTTCCATTTGAAAAAATTGAGATATGATTAAAAATACGATTTGGGAATTTTTTAAACGGCCAGGACAAGACACGAATAACATTAGACGTTCAAATATATTTTTCCAAGGTTCCTTGATTAAAAATTAGTGTTTTTAACACAGGCAACATGGC